AGCATATGGCTGCAATATAACAAAGAGTGAAAAATTTAAGGGGTCTGAATACTTTCCGTACCCACTGTGAGTCTGCTTGTGGAGACTTGCTTCATATTGGTAAAACATCACAGTGAAGGTGCTTGCTGAAGTTGTTTTTGAATGGTGCATTCAAGGACATGCTAGCAACTTGAGTGCCAGTGCTTGAAAAGCACTGCATTCACAAACTATTTCTGTTTGTAGATATAGATTTTGGTTGTGGAGTTTCCTTGAAAGCATCAGTGGGGAAGAGTTCTGCATCAGCACCTTGATATCAAGTGTTCACTGTAACTGAATGCCAAGGGCTTATTATTAGCTGTATTGACCAGTCTCTGCAGGTTTACACTGCCCTGAAATGAATAGAAAGCAATGGCTGCAAGGAGTGTGGCAAATTAATCCATATACTGTACATTTATCACATTGCATCATGTCCATCTATTGCACAACAGTTTCCACCCTGATGAAGGCAAGACGTAGCTGAAACACTTGGTGAATTCATAATAGTGCACTGGATGAGGCATGTTCTGTTTTGATAAACTTGCATTAAAACTCACACTGGCCTGAGCTCAGTGTTTGTGGTCACAATGTTAGAAAATGACCAGTAATAATATATGTAATTTGTAGTTTATTCAGAACCACCAGTGCAGTTGTTTAAGTCAATAGATGCAATACTGTAATTTTAGGATGTAATATCACCACTGATTTCCACAGGGTCTTCCACAGGCATCTTTAAGGTTGTAAATACTGCTTTCATCACATCACGTGACATTAGGTTGTACAGTATATTACCCAATATCGTATATGTGCTATAGGGAAAGCTCTGTCGTAACAGACGTTCTCGCAGCCTGGCTGCTCAGTGTCACAGTTAAAATCTTCCTGCTCATCTCCCCACGATGACTCAGCGGCCGTACCGAGTACCAGGATACGGAAGATAAACAGGATGGTCAGCCACACCTGTGGAGCGAACAACAACAAACAAAATAGATCAAACCCTCAGAAACATTAATATAGTAACATAATAGATATACTGTAGTATAGAAACAACGATGAGTGAGGATCTTTGTACAGGAATATAACGTTTGAAAATACTATAAGTGTGAACAGATGTAGGTGTAGATATTTAGGAAAACCCGACTGAATGATTCCATTGCTGCTATTAACTGATGCATTTGTGTGTGTGTGTCAGTGTGATACCTTGCCAACTGAGGTAGAGTGCTCCTGTACTTCCTCCAGGAAGTTTCCCAGTAGACTCCAGTCTGCCATGACTGGTTACAGCTCAGCACAGGTTTGTCAGTTTACCCTCTGATGATCTTTC